AGCTACCAACACTCTTGTTTCCCAACAAAAAACAAGGCCATTCTGGCTTCTGGTAGCTTTCATAATATATTTTAAAAAAAAAAAACTTCCTTAAAGGTGTATATTAAATTGGATAAGGCTTTCTTCTCTTCAGTGAATTATATTACAGAAAATATTAACAGTTATTAGAAATTATTTTAACTTTATGAAATGGTTTGGCCACATCTTCATAGAATATAGTAGCTGCTTAAAGCTTTGAAATTGTAAACAAGCCAAATGGACAGAAATATTAAGTGTAATGAACTATTTAGGAAAATGAATGAAGATTTTTCTCCTCAAATGATCCTGGATTAAAGAGGTAAAATATTTTTAGATATTTCTCAGAAACGCAGAACATGTTGGGAATCACTCAGGTGCCTTTCTTGTAAGATAAATGATCAGATAAGCAGAAAAGAAAAAAAAAAGCTGGCAGCAGCATTAAAACAGAACACAGACATTACAAAAAAATTTCTAGATTGAATTAATAACAAATTCAATCCCATTAGCCTAGTCTATTTCACTGGAAAACTTCTAGTATGTTCTTTATTTCCAAGCTAAGTAGGATGCAAACAATAGTATTTCACTAAATGTACTTACATGAAATGCATATATCTCGAACTAATGCTTCCAAAAATCCAGCATAATACAGTGATTTCTCATACTGTGTTATTTTTTCTTTTAACAATTTCCCAAATTCCGTAAAATCATCTTTTGATGATGGATTCATAGTATCTATTCCACATATGTTACTTACACCTGTAAGAAAGGAGCAATGTATAGAAAGGGCTGCTCAAGCACATAAAATAAATATGCTGACAATACCTGTGTCCCTAAAAGAAAAAAACATTCCCAAACACGGAGGACGGAAGACCCCTGAACATTCTGAAAAATGATCGAGGACCTCAAAGCAAGTTACAGAGAGGGGACAAGTCGTTGGCACTTTTAACAGAAATGCATGTCCCTTCACACTCACCAAAGGTTTCTTTTGCTAACTCCAGATCTGCCTCTTCTTGCAATTTCTGCATTCGGAGCTTGTCTGCTAACTGCTCTTCCGGCGTCAGTTCTTTGGATTCTTCCGATGCCTCCAACTTAAAAAGGGACAGAGAGCAGAAATGCCACCTGTGCCCGCCCAGGCGCCGGACGCAGCCCGAAGGCCCCGCGGCGAGGCTGCAGGCCGTCCCCGCTGTCCTCGGGGAGGGACGGAAGGAGTTGGGGGCGGCTCACCCTTTTCGTAACCTCCTCCTGCTTTTTCCGCTGCAGCTTTTCCCGCTCCTTTATTTTTTCTGCTAGTTTCTTCTTTTCGGAAACTTTGGCGTCTGCGGACAGGCACAAGGTTAGCGGCGGCTTCTCGCTCGGGACGCGGGACTCCCGCGGACCCGCCGCCCGGCCGCTCACCTGGCTTGGCCTCCTTCTCCGCCGCTTCCTCCTCCTCCTGCTGTTGCTGCTGCTGCTCCTCCTCCTCGTCGTCCCAGTTGTCCTGCCCGGGGCAGAGCAGAAGCGCCGGTCACCCGCCGGGAGGCCTCCCCCCGCCGCCCGCCTGCCTCCCCCAACGGACCGGGCAACGCGCCCCCCGCCGCCGCCCCCCCTCCCGGCCACCTTGACGTCGTCGTCCTCGTCCTCGCCGGCCCAGCGGTCCATGGCCGCCACGGCGGGAGTGGGCCGGAGGCGCCCGGCCGGCGGGTCCGGCGCCTCGAAGGTGTCCGCGTCTGCGGGGACAGAGAAAGGGTCAGCGGAGCGGCCGGGCCGGCCTGGCCGGCGGGAGGGAGGGAGGCAGGGAGCGGGAGGGGGCGGCGAGGGGGCCGCCGGACCTACCCCAGGAGTCCGCCTCGGCCGCCATCTTGCCCGCCGCCCTGTCGCTCGCGGCTCGCCCAGCCCAGCAGGCAGGAGGGACCGCGCGCGGCACGATGGGACTTCCGCCCCGCCCCCCAACGCGCTTCCGGCTTCCGTTGACGTCCCCGGAAGAGGCGGGAGCTGTGGGAGCCCGCCCCCTTGGCGCGCGGGGCCGGTCGGGAAGCCGAGGCGGGGCCGGGAGGCTCTCGGGGAGCGGCCTTCCTCGCTGCGTCGCTTCCAGGCGGGCGGCTGACTGAGCAGCCAGCGCTGGCCTCCCCTTTAAAGCCACCCCGAATGTTTTGCTTGCCGTAAAGCGGGCTCCCGAGAAGGCCGTTAATGGTCTCCTTTAGTGTATCTACGCCCCAAATTATATCGAAGTATAATAATTATACTTTTGTAAAATCAGTATAAAATGCTTGTTTGTATAACCGAGAGCTTACGCGCAATTCCTTGTGTGTCCAATATTCTAAGACCGAGCCATCATTTATTAAACAATTTTACATTTCCACTGAAAAGGGACACTGGAAATTAAAAACCAGACTTGCACAAAATTACAAAATGATAGTTTAATAAGTATTTACAGAGCAGCCTGCAGCGGTTGATTTGGTTGTCCTAAATAGGATTAAGTTACCCATATTACCAATCATTTAGAGACGGTCAAACCTCACGTTCCTTTTTTTCCTCTCTCTTCAGTGATCAGTGTTATTTGCAGTATTCCACCTTAACAAAAAACACTGGGTTTATTAGTTTTGTTCATGAAAATGCATGTTTGCTTTAAAAAGTTTCTCTAAAAAGGTGCTGTACAATTCCCTTGAAATAACAGAGAAATGTCCATTGCATTATTCAAGGTGAGGACTGCTGTTCAATTTACTTGTTAATGGATTTGCAGAAAATAATCTCTGAATGCAGCATAGCAAACTATCATAAGAAAATCACACGCTCACTCTTATCCCCCCCCCCCAAAGTTCCAGACTTTCAGCATCCACTGTTCCTCCAAAAAAAAAAAAAAAAAAGGGTTCTTCACAGTTCTGTTTTGAAGCTGGGGAAGATCAAAGGGGTGGGTGGCCTTCTGCACCAGCCTGAAGCTCTTTGGCCAAGCCATCGGCTCACAATCGATAAGCATGAGTAAGCTACCTTCCGGAGACAACTGGCAAAGAGTTGTGAGCTATCATCATTAGAAGCCAGAGGAGCAGCTTGGACTAATTAGTATAGAGTTACCTTCTCTTAAATCAAAAGTAATCTGAGTCAAGGGCACTCCTACATTGCTCATGATGATAATCCACTTTCATAGATTTGAGAGCATTTTAACATTTTCAAAATCAAATGTATCAATATAGCTGTTACTAGCAAAACAGGAAAAAATGGTTACAAGGATCACCTCTGGGAAAACACATACACGCTTACTTACATTATATATAATGTGTGTGTGTGTATATATATTATAGTAACATTATGTACATTTTATTTCAATAAAGACACTTAAGACAAAACAGCGTAAAGATGCCCAGATGCCCTAGAGATAAATACAATTCAAAGATTCTCATTAAAATGAATCTGTAGCATTTTCCTGCAAGCAAAATATCTTTCTTTAAATAAAAAAAAGTCAGCATTCAGGATAGCAAATGCCTTTTTTTTTCTTTTCACAGAAAATTCACCATAATTCTGTGCTAAATGAATAATGATTTCCCACAAAGCAGGCTTGCTCTACATGCTAACTTTTTAACAGTTCAGTGACACATGTGCTAGCTACATATATAACAGATAATATAGTAAGAAAACACTCAACCTGATGAAAAGTTAAAATCTTCATTAATACATTGGAAAAAGTTGATATAACTCATGCCTTTTAAAATCAAAAAATACAAAAATTAAATGTTTTCCTAAAAAGATTTTCCTTATTTTAAGGACTCATTCAAAAATGAAGCTGCGTGTAATTTGTACAATAAAATTGTACAAGTAAACGGTAATATACATAAAAAATTAATTGACATACTTCTCAATTATCAGTTGTCCACCTTTAATTTCCAATACTGTTCTTTCTTTAACAAGCATACAAAATATCAAACTTCTCTTTAGAAAAAGTGCCATTCTGCAACATCCTTTACATAAAAACAGCCCGAGCCTGTGGCGTGTCTATGCAGTTTAGAGGCAAAGCTTACTAACTTTTACAAATTTTTCCCTTCCATAAAAAGCCTCCCAAAAAGGAGAGTATGCTCCATTAAAAAAATATCAGCCTCTTGTATAACCTGCATTAGAGAGCCAAGGCTTGAAAACCATTTCCATATAATATAGAAAACCACTATGATAGCATATCAGCTGCACTGGCAGCAGAGGAGTGTCCAGGACCACAGGGGCAGACAGGGTGACTATGGCAGGGCTAAGCCACACACACGCTTCAAACTGGCTGGAGCCACCTGCAGGGCAGAGGGCCAAACCGTGTGCGCACAAGAAATTACCTGTCCACAGTACATGCCATCACGATGGTTTAAGTATTCTGCATATTAGTAATTCTTATATCTCTTTTCTAGCCAGTCTCTTGATTTTTTTTAAAAAAAGATTTCCACTACAATAAAATGAATATATATATATATATATATATATATATATATATATATATATATATATATATATATATATATATAAACATAGAATAAAACTAGATGGTTTTTAAAAACAAATATACAATATGCAGGCAGACAAAGCAGGAAAATGGCCATTCAACCGAATAATAAAAATAAAAATGAATAAAACTTGGCTATTCCCAGAAAAATATGAAGTCACCTCAACTAAAAGGAATGCATAATGAAATTCTAAAATTGAATACACATCAAAAGTGTAAAAAGGTTATAAACCTTAACAGGAAAAAAATTACTGGCCATTCCTGTTGAAATGAGAATTTTAAAACACAAAGTGGCTACGAACCCACTTAGAGAGCACCAAACAGAGAGAAAACAAGAGTCCATTTTCAATCTCTGTGATTTCATAAATCCTGTATTTTTATAGGATAAACTGCTGGTGGCAGAAACAGAATTCTTTAAAAACGGCAGGTGTTCTGTACATTAAAAACCAGTGGAGTTGCACTAGATCTAAAGACTCTTCTGTTCTAGCCTACCTACTGTACTGCACATCTTTCCATTTGGCGATATAGGAAGTTCTTCTGTAACCCTTTATTACTGTTGGGCACCAAAGATAAGAAAAGCGAGAAAGGGTACAAAAATGCAAAAATTTCAACAGTAATGGCAATGTTTTTGTTCTAGTCCAAAAAGAAAAAGGATCCTGCATTTTCTTTCCCTTCAGCTTTGACCAGAAATTGAGTTTAATCAGGGGGTAGTAAGTCATGCAAGCGAAATCTGTCTCGTATGTGAGGCCGAACATCTTCATTCTAGAGGTGGGGAGAACAAAACAAAACTTTACCATCTTTCATATATTACAGTAAAGTTAATTTGCAATAATAATCCTGGGATTTCGGAGCGTGGTCAGAAACTACTACTTTTTGTTGCAGAGAAAGAAGAAATGGAGCCAAGAACGGGTCAGAGCCTGTGGAAGGCTGGAAACCCAACTTCTGAACTACTCTCCACAGCTTTTAAAACCCTGCGGTCTTTCTTTTCAATCAATCACCACATTCAAAGAAAACAAGACACGGTGGGGGGGACAGCTGAAATATCTGTGCTAGCTTATGGCTACTGAAATGTTTGCAAGTTCTTATTGAACTTCTATTTAGTGAAGTTAGTCCTTCTGGCAATGAGGAATGTGCACCAGCTTTAATTGTTACCAAATTCAAACTTAGGCCGTCAGAAATGTCGCTTTATTGGTCTCTGTAATCTCATTCTACATAATGGCTAACAAGCACTTGCAGGCCTCTTCCATGCACCAAAGGTTCTTCTGTGGAGACACTTCTGTGAGGTTGCATTATGTAACCTTCAGCTCTAGTCGACATACTTATATTCGGATTAAAATGTGCATTCTAAAAAAATAGAATTCACTCACACATTGAGTATGGACAGGAAATGAGCCATTATAGGTAGTCCTCAACTAACAATTGAGCCCAAAGTTTGTTGCTACGTGAGACAATTGTTAAGTGAATTTTGCCCCATTTTACAGCCTTTCTTGCCACAGCTGTTAAATGAATCACTGCAGTTAGGTTAGTAACACAGTCGTTAAGAGAATCTGGCTTCCCCATTGACTTTGCTTGTCAGAAGGTCACTGCAACCGTCATAAATACGAGTCAGTTGCCAAGTGTCTGAATTCTGGTCATGTGACCCTGGGGATGCTGCAACGGTCGTAAGTGTGAAAAACCGTAAATCACCTTTTCAGTGCTGCTGTAACTTCTAACAGTCACTAAATGGACTGACTGAGGACTGTCTCTACAAACACATCGTCTTGCTTACAAAAAAAACTACAAACACATCATCTTGCTTGACCTTTGATGGAGGACTCACTTGGGTTTAAGAGGCTAGAAGAGTTTTATTCAAAAATATTTTTGGACAGATCAGGGAAGTTGTGTTGCTATAAAAGGGAGTGAACACTTCCTAAAGGAAGCTGTAATGTAATGCAAAGACATCTAAAGGTGTTTCCTAAGTCAAAAACCAGTATCCTGAGTTGTGCTACTTAATCTATGAAGGTTTAAGAAGAAGAAAAAATATATTTAAAGAATACTTACCAGTTCTACAAGTTTTTCCAGAAAAGGAATCAACTTTAGGAGTTCATTGTCATTTTTATCCATGAACCAGCTTTCTATAGGAATCCCATTTGAAAGCTAAATCAGAAAAAAAAGGTAAAATAAGGTGCTACAGTTTCTAGAAAGAGATAAAATCTATTTTTCAGTAATTCCCTCATTAATTCAAGTTTTTAAAAACTCTGCCCACGTGCTCAGAACTTCTTCAAAGTTATAGTAATTGATGAAGGTTCTGGTGAAGCAAATAACACAAAAATCAGTGCACCATGGCCTGCTTTTACTGAGCACACTGAGCCAGCATTGACTCTTCTGTTTTGGAAAAAGTCTGGAAAACTTTAGCTGAGCTGTAGTGGCCTTTTCTGTACCTCTCAATCAACTGCACAGACTGGCTTGAGATATTCTGGCCTATCCCTCTATAGGACAACTGGACAGAGGCAGCAGTCCTCTTCTGACCTCGTGAGCAGGAAAGCCCTTTTTCTGAAATCTGCAGGGATTTATTTAATAGGAGCATTATTCACTTCCAAAATCTGTGTCACGAAGAGTCTGGTTCTTTTAGTCTCCCCTTAGATTCTCATCTTCAGTTTGGGTTTTCTCATCCTTCTTCCCCAAGGTAGAAGGCGGCTCAGGCCGGTGGGCTCAGGTGTTCAAGACAGACATGGCACCGTGAAATGCTTGTGTGCCGTTTGCTCTACCAGAACACCTCTCTTCCTGGGACACGGATGATGCTTTGATTGCACTGAAGTTCATGGTACGGCAGGAGTATGGCTGCATCTATGAGGGGGGCTGCAGCCCAGGGTGGACTGACCCTGAAGTGAAGGCGGGCCGAAAATCACCATGGAATAAGGCATCGCTAGATGCTTTCCACACACACTGCTGCTAAGAGAACAATTTAAAAATGCCTCCAAAGTCAACAGGCACAGAGAATGATTTGAAGGAGGCTTTATTTAGTATTCTAAAGTCTGAAAAATGACCTCCAAGAAATACTCACCTGGTAGGCAAAGGCTTGTGGTGAATTGTCGATGATGATAGTTTTTGAGAGATCTCTACCAAGAATATTTAAATCTTTTATGTAGTTCCCTTGCACACAAACACAATGTTCACGGAAAAGTCGATGTCTATAATTAAGAACACATTTAGGTTGCATACAGACAAGTATAGATAAAGGAAATACTGTAGTCAAAACCCCTTCGTCTATTCTGTGCTTTAAGAACAATCTTCTGGATAACAGAGCTTTGTTATAAAAAAGGAGATTAAAAGAGCCAAGATCAATTCTTTCTCAATTAAATGCAATAGGGCCCTAGCTTAGGGGCTGAAGCAAACCAGTCCTGTCCCGCGTTTGCTGTTTTTTCCTCTTCCGAATACATTCAATATTACACTGAACTAACTTGAAGGTTTATGGGGGACATAAAGCAAAGGGCACATCAGTCAGAATTAACTGCAGTCCACTTATAGAATGGACCTACTCCTAATTATCCTAATGAGGGCTGCTGGGTAGTCTTTGGACAAGCAGGAGCAGGGATCTTAGTCCAATGGCAAACGCTTTAAAGCAGCCAAGCCTTTTCCCAGGCCTGCATAACTTGAAATATTGTATCTGCTGGGAGCAAGGATATTTGGCCAGCCTCCTTGAAGCAATTTCTACAATGTGGAGGGAAAGTAGAAATCAAGAAGAAGAGTATTACAGGATAAAGTTACACTGCAGGGTTTAGTCAGATACCAGTGAAAAGTAATAACTTCAGGTTGAATATTTTTAAGGAGGAAATGTTAAGAGCAGGCCTGTTAATAGCTATTTATCCCCGCTACATATTAGATATTGCTGTGATACTAAAATAGTGTTAAATATACTTATTTTGTTATTCTGGTTAAAATGTAAATAACAGACGACAGCTTTCTATTCAAGCTTACCTGACCAGCTGCTTTTTAGGGTCTAATATATTCAGCAATTTGTCTGCATAGACCTTTTTAGAAGCAGTAAAAAGAATGATCTAAAAGAAAGAAAGGGAGATGCAACTGCCATCCATACCATCAAGAAAAGTAAATAACTTGAGTATCACAAAAAAAAAAAATTCCATTACCTCATAAATTTGGGACATACATTCTAAGAATTCTCTGAAAAATGGTCTTAATCGCACATAAACCTAAAAAGAGAACAAAACAGTAGTTTTAATTATGGAACACAAAGATTTATTTCAAATGGCAGAGACTTCAGAAATTACAGAGTAGGGCACACTGTTTAATATATTAACATTATTGGTTATTTTAATTTTTAATAATCTGTGAAAAAGTAATAGTGACTAGTACATTTGTAGAAAGGCATAGCTATAATAACCTTTAGAGGAAACCTTTTTGCTTTGAACATTCTGTTTATTAGAATAGAAACACAACAGAGATAATCTTTTATAAATGCAAGTTTTTGAGATTTAAGATTCTTTTTCATCAGACAAGTTAGTTCACCCACAAAGACATATCCGACAAGTGAGTTTTAACAGAAACAACATTTTTATGTCCACCAATGCAGAATTCCCAGGAAAAGCTCTTTTTATGTCACTAAACAGAATTTTGCTCAAAACTCAACTGAATTATTTTTGTCTACATTTTCCACCAGAAAGTTACCAGCAAAGACTTAGTTTAAGAGAAATATTATTCTTAGGCATCTGATGTTGAGATCAACATCTTTTTATCAGTATTAATCCTTCATATTAAGCAATAGCTACATACATCTCAGTTACCAACCTTTGCCTTCTCTTTGGCCTTCATAAAAGGTATATTATTATTCTAAAAGGTATATCAGAGAGCAAAAAAAGGGGGGGAGAAGATTCATGATCAAGAATTTTAAGTCATCCCTCTGTTGTTAAGACACGCACATTCAATACTTCCTGGGGAGCATGAAAAAGAGAAAGATCTTATACCACACCCCATTCCTACCTAAACTTACCGGAGGTTATTCCTCAATCGTGCCTTCCTTTCAGGTTACACAGGTTGTAGTGGTGCAATACTTTAGTACTATGATTGATCACTGCTACTATTATTTATATTAAAGGCAAGATGCAGCTAATGAAGTAGCTCAATTACTCAAGACTCCTGCTGAAATAAGTGGATTTGCAACAGGGTGTTTGTGGATTTATTTAAAAATTCTGACATTTCTTCTTCCTGTATTCAACCGTTTTTCAGATTGTCTAAAAATGTTGAAGCTGATGTTTCAAGAGTTAACAAGAATAACAAGCTACTAAGATAAAACAAGTTAAAAAGATATGCTTGGAAGATCTGAACTTGAGCTGGGCCTTTATCAAACCGGATGCAACACCCCGCCAATTCACCCAGGAACAGACCCTCCAGAGGCACCCTCAGTGCTCACTCTGGTCCTAGATGAAAACAAGCCTTGCCCTAAGCACAGGGACTCAGAGACTGGCTTACAGGGAACCGTGCGCAATACGACCCTTTGTCTTGAGCTCCACAATGACAGATTGATTCACAATTGCAGTTCCGAAGAAATGCTTACATTGGAGAAGTGATTAAGAAGCCCCAGATGAAAACGGGTTGGGGGGTTGGAGAGTACATGCCATGAAAAAGGTCTGCACGTATTAAGGAAAAAAGGTGCCAGGAATCAAAGATATGCTTCTAGCAAGATTTAGGATCTATCAAATGCAAATTTTACATTTTTTTATTATTTCAAAATAAGTCATTTTTGTAAATAACCCAGGAAAATAGACACAGTTATTCTGAATAATATATACCACAGGCAAGAGATCCAAATAGGCTACAATAGGAAAAAAGGCATAGTCCAGTTACTGCCCAGAATGAATAACTACATCCTCCAAGTGTACGTAAATGAAGAGGATTCTGACTACTGCCATCATCAGAGAGAAGATAAGAAACCCAAGTGTGTATGTACTTTGGAAGATTTCATGTTATGTTTCAGGATGTTGAAGGATTGTAAATAAAACAAAAGACAAAAGACAAGTTTTAAAATTAGGGTAAAATACCTGGACAAGTGTCCGTTTAAGATGTCTGATGTCATTCTCCAAAGATACTACAGAGGGGTCCAATATCGTGCGAACTACATGGAGGGAAGCTGTTGCTACTCCCAGGTACATCACACAATAGGGACCTGAGAACAACAGCTGGGGTCAGTGCAGCATCTTTGGCAGTTGCTGGAATACACCTCCTTCTCCTCCTCCTTCCCCTGTTCTTCGCTGGCAGAATTATTAAATGCACCGTAGATGAGAGCAAAGAATATGTTGCGAAGCACAACCAATAGCTAACAATCTCGCAGTCTTCGTCAACAAAGCAACTCTTGCCACATAACAGCACCTTACTAGGAATGAAGGAATGGATCTACTTCTAAAAGCAGGTCATTCCCAATGCTGACGTCCCCTTCAGAATGGAGTGCTTAGCTAGCGTGAGCCGGTTTCCACAGGCAAGGAAGAAAACCTAAGTCTGCAGCAGGCTCTTGTTCTATCAAAGAACCATGTGGACTTAGAAGGCCTTTTTCTTCACCTCCTGGCAAGGAGGAAAGCTGCTAAGAGGAATACTTCTAGCTTCCTAATGGTTGATAGTTTTACAATGGAATTATAAGGAAATAGTCGAAGTAGTATGCCACATCTCCTCTAAGTTCTGATGGCTTGCTTAACAATATTTCATAGAAATAACCAATAGCTGCTAAATTAGCAACCTTTTAGGAGATCAAAAAGATATCAGATACATACTGTTTGCCCTTTAATTTCATGGGAGCAATTTCACCTTAACCTGATTTGGATTACCTGGTAAATGACATCCTGGAAAAGGACTGGAAACGTGAGTGCAGCATCTTCCAGTTCATTTAGACTACAGTGGACTAATGTTTCATCCTACGAATAATTTAAAAAATGAATTTAGCAGAGGGGCAGAAAAGAATGTGTTCTCTGAAATAGCCCTATAATTTACAGTTTCCAAAGAGAGAATATCTTTCCCTAAAAAGTGTAGCAAACAATCAAATACGTGTTTCTTACCAAGTCTAGAACTAAAGAGAATTCTGGTGTACTTCTGGTTTTCAATGGAAGAGCAGGTTTCCGATTAAGTTGTTCTTCTGTTAGCGGTGGAACATGTTTGATGAAGTAGTATCTAAAAATGAGTTATATCAGTTTGATCATTAATCAGACAATGAATACTTTACTCTTAAATTATGATAAAGGCACATGTATATTAATAATAATTCTACCCACAGATTTACTAGATGAACCATATACGTTAGTTGGGGAAGAAACTGTTTTTCAGAACTGGAGCTTCTGAAAACATAAGTTAACTATTCCACCTAGCCCAACACTCCTTTTTCTATGGTTCTTCCCTTGTAAAAATTTGGCTCCCCCCCCCCATTTAGGGCTCTTCAAGTATCTGTTTCCTCCTTCTTTGGTTTTACAGAAGGCCAATCTTAGCTACTGTTTTGCCAGCAGGCACCAGCTGAATTCTTTGTCATAAATATTTTTATTTACACACACACACACACACACGTCTGAGTATGAACACATACGGATCAAAGACTTCCCAGTCTTCTTCATAGGTGGCTTCTGCATGAGCTGATGAATAACCACTGTCTGGAGATACTGGTGCTAACAAAACACAAAAGTTCCTCATTAGCTTATAGAAGAAAAGAGAAATTTTCTCTTAACAGTGCAGTTGATCATTTAAAATATTTCTATTTGGTATGAAATGCTTTTGTCTTCCATTTTTCTTAAGAACTATCATCAATATTTTTTAAACTTATAATTTGACTCTTAAAAATAGATATATCTGTATCAAACTCCAAATGGTTAGGAATTTTTGCAAGTGAAAGCCAGGTAAAAATTCACAGGTATGTTGTTACTGACATGATAAAAATTATGTGCAGAGTCAAATATGAATCTTTTTAAACCAAACCTTTAGCAGTTTAAGTGCCTAGTAAAGATGATGGTTACCATCTGTTTTCTTTCACACTTATGTCCTATTGTATTGTGGAATTCTGTTTTGATAGTCATCTGACTTGGCTGGTACAAATGTTCCATTAAGTAAATTAATACAAACCTTAAACAGAAAACAATATTATGAAATTAAATTCTTATTAGCCAGAGTGATGCTGCCCTTGGCTTTGAGGTTTGTGTACATGTGTAGATGAAGCATAATGCATAAGGAAGTTGTTTGTCGGAATACATTCGTGCTCAAGTAAAGCGAGTACGACCACAATTGAGCCCAAAATTTCTGCTGCTAAGTGAGACATCTGTTAAGTGAGTTTTGCCACATACGTTAAGTGAATGCTGCAGTTGTTAACTTAGTGACATGGTTGTTAAGTAAATCTGGTTTTCCCATTGACTTTGCTTATCCGAAGGTTGCAAAAGGAAATCGCATGACTCTGGGATACTGCAGCCATAAGTATGAGTCAATTATCAAGCATCTGAATATAAATCCCTTGACCATGAGGATGCTACAACCATGAGGATGTTTGTTATAAGTGTGAAAAATGATGATGTCACTTTTTTCAGTGTCACTGTAACTTTGAAAGATCACTAAATGAACTGTTGTAAGTCGAGGACTGCCTGTAGATATAAATGACCAGGGTTTCCTAATACCAATGTATTTATCATTTGTTAATCACATCTCTAGACTGCTGAACTCCTAAGGGCTCTAGGCCATTTATAAGATAAAACACTGAAGGAATTCAGTCAGGAAAAACACACGTATGCCCAAATGTTTTCTTTGCTATCAACAGTTTGGGGCTGCCGTGTCTCCTGACTCTCTGGCTGCCCCACGTGCAGTTTGGGGGAGAAGTACAACGCTGGAGCCAGGAGCTGCTCAGAGAAACAAAAATGCTTTCTCCTTACCAGTCAGCGGAGGCAGATCACAGTCAGCCACATCATCCACTTCCTCCAAGACGGTGCTGATGGTCGTTCGGACCTCGGCTGTCTGGCTGGCGTAGGATGCTCCGTTGGCTGAGACAGCAGTGCTGGTAATAATCTCATCCACCTGCTCCATATCAAGCTGCTTCACGATTTCTTCAGCCTCCACAGCTTGGCCTGGAGAATCTGAGCCTGCTGTTCCTGCAATAATGCTCTGGGTTAATGCTAGTGCTCTTAAGGTGAGCATTTGCAGGTACTCTTCTGTGTCTGGATTTAAGATCTAAAAAAGAAACCTAACAGAATATATTCCCGTTTGCCATTTTTCCCAAATAGGAAACAACTATTTCATAATAACAATTTTAGATGCATGTAAGAGCTAAATACAGTTTTGTGCAGTACTTGCCATTTTTATTTGCTGGTGAGAAAAAATTGAAGACAGGAGAAAATATGGTCCCCAATAATGTAGTCCTTGGGGGGCTGCCGCTGGTGGGATTATCATCCAATTTTCCATTCTGCCGGACATGCTGGTTTGCCATTTCATAATTCCCAGCTTCTAGAACAGACGAACAAAAAAGAGCACTGTTTCTAGTGTGATTTTTCCAATATTGGTTGGAAATATAGATGACAAAGTTTCAATTAAATATCAGATTCCTAGATAAGCACAAATGCACTACAGGAATTAAACCTTAGAAAGCCATGCCGGCACACCCACAAGGCTGACACTCTCAGGGCTCATGGTTTCCAAGGCAATGAAGATTCACAATTGGCTAACTCGTAGTCTGAGAAACTCCACTGACTCTGCCATACACAAATCTTTCAGAAACACACAAAATGTTATAATTTAAAAAAGTGAGCTAAAAGCTGCAGCAGAAGTGTTTTTAACTGTAAATTGTTAATTCAGATCATATGATCAGCCTCCGTATGGGAGATGGGTGGTTACTATATTTGATAAATAAAATAAAAGATTTGTAAATATTTGTTAAGAGTTACCCTGAGATAAGAAATGTAGCCAATAAATTTTATATAAACAAACAAACATATAAATATTTATAAATCAATCTGATATTGGTAACTTTTTCTTTTTTAATCACATTGTTATAAATATGCTGCTTATTACATTAGTTTGTGATATGCGATGCCCGTTAATAGGCAATTATAAACTGCAGATAGTAGAAGTGCTTATATAGTTAGCAAAGCAAAAATGCAGCATTCCCTTGCAGGGAAGCCTGTTTTCATGGAAGAGAAAGTTATCCTATTAATTGTGTAAAGAAAATAATGTGGTCATGCATGAGTATTCAATTCTCTTTCTCTGTGCTCTGTGCTTTCTTAGCACTGCTTTCCAATCTGCAAATCTGGCAACATGGTTTAGTTTACATTTTTAAGAGAATTACTTTGCACAATAAAGAAGAAAATGTTTGAAGTAAAACACAAATGCTTCTCTTACTATCAGCAGTCCTGCAGTCGTTCTCTTCTTCTTTGAAACCAGGGTCAAAAGTTTCAATGGCAGAAGAACCAAAGCCCTCCTCTGAACTAATGACTGGAATATTTACAAACCTCCATTCGCAGGACTTTTCCGCTTAACTCGAGAAAACTGTTTGTGAGGCTTTTCTCCTGTTCGAGGAGTGGATGTAATTAAGTTGTCATCTATGTCACGTTCAATTCTACTTCTCTTTGCAGGGTGTTCTTGTTCATCCTTAATTAAAAAAAAAAAAACAACCCACCAAATTATACCTTTGCCTTTACTAGTAAACTCTCCCTGTCCATTTGTACTGCTTTCATGGATGTTAAATTTCCAACATCTATTTTTTTTTCATTCTTTTTATTTCATAGGCTTTTGGCAGAAAATATGTCATAAAAATAAAAAATAACCCACCAAACTTAATTCAAATTTGTATTCTTAAATATTTAGATCATGCTATTTGTTTCAATTTTTTTCACTGCTTTAACATGCCAGAAAGAGAAAAATAAACTCCCAAGCCCATAAAAAACAAACATAACAAAGAAACGTATGTTCTATATAGAAAAATCACTGTCCAATTTTTAAATATCAGCTACATTGATCACCTTTTCTGCTCCACCCATAGAGATAGTTCATAGATGGAAAGTGAATATATATTGTTGATCCTTAATTTTATTCTGGATTCTTCATTGCTTTTTTTATAAAGCATTTTATAAATCTATTTTCTCTCAACTGAAATGAACCTCCCCGCTGTTCCAATGAACTTTTCTTCAAAAATCAGGATAAAGCGCTTGCTCCCGATAGAATTGCAATGCTTATGCACTGCAGGCACGTAATCACGACTGGGAATTCCCCACATTTGACTTCAGTTTCACCAGTGGGTTTCTTTTATTTCTTTTTGTTCCCTCAGCTGGCTTTTAGACTAGCCAAGTATTTACTGCTCTCTTAAAAGGGAAAATTTAGAATTTATACAATTCAATTCAACTGAACTGACTGAGCCAGGCAGGCTTGAGAGCTCCGAAAACAACCAGAGCATCCTGCAGGGGCTAAACAACCCGGATGCATTATACTGATCCCACGAAGGCTACCAACCTATTTCTGGACAAAATGACGATGCTGACACAACAGCCAGTAGACTAAACTATCAGCAGGGCTGCCCGCTGCAGAGGAACTTAAGAAACCAGTATCTCTTCAAAGCTGACCCACTAAGAGACATCAGCCTGGCAAGTACTAGAGTTAGAACATTTTTAACCATACTAGAAATATCTGGAAAATGCTTGCTGTCTTCAGACAGCTCTTTCACGTGTTTCCTGAATAGATTTACAACTGATTTCATTCCAAATGTTTTAATGATTGCTATTTAAATGTTTGCTTTTGTAAGCATCTTGAAAGATATATTATACAGATTAACACAATCATGTCAAAATATAATAGTGATTCCTGAATATTTATTTACCTTTGGGGTACTTCCTTTAATGAACTTTTTAATTGACGATAGTAAGCCAGTTTCATTTTTCTGAAGTTTTCCTCCACCAACAGATATGTTCTCTTCCACCTCTGAGTATTTCCTCTTTACTCTCAATGCACGCTGTGTGTGATTTTGATTTGACTGCTGAGAAGCTTTCCGTGTTCTCAGCCTCATTTTTGATGGTGTCACATGTAAAGCTATGTAAGACAAGAACAGAAAATACAGCAACAAGTCTCCTACTGAAGGCTGTTTCTGCCAAAGGGGGCAATGTCTGCTTACTTTTCTACAGAAGAAAATGTCATATTTCTTAATTTTTTGTTGAATAAATGATTGCAAAGTCATTTTTCTTCAATTACAAGTAGCCCTCAACTTACGATAATTCCCAATATTTCTGTTGCTAAGCAAGGCAGTTGTTAAATGAATTGTGCCCCGTTTTATGACCTTTCTTGCTACAGTTGTTAAGTGAATCACTGCCATTAAGTAACACAATTGTTAAGTGAATGTGGCTTCCCCGCTGACTTTGCAAAAGGTCGCAAAAGGGGACCCTGGAACACTCCAGCCATCATAAACGCAGTCCAGGGGCCTAGCATCCAAATTTTGATCACATGACCATGGGGATGCTGCAATAGTCGCAAGCGTGGAAAAGTCACTTTTTTCAGAGCTGTTGTAACTTTGTTGGGTCACTAAATAAATGGTTGTAAGTGGAGAACTACCTGTATATTATCTTTGCCTTTTATATACTTTGAAGATAAAATATTGATATTTTTGAAAATATTTCTCTTAAAAAAGAGAAAGCAAGTGTACACGGAGTATATTTACTTTTTGACATGACTGGAACTAAGTACATTAATGGAGTGCAACATTACTAAAAAGACTGAGCTAGAATAAGATTTCAGAAACCAGTACCAGTCACTTCTAAATAATAAAACCATATACAAATTAAAATAAAGTGTCCCACAGAGTTTTTCAGAAAAGTTAAGAATTTTTAGCAAAGAACAAAACATCTAAGGAATCAAAGCAATTACCCTGATTAATTGAACTAATTGGTATGCAGTCCAGCAGCCAAGCCTCTAGAAGTACAGGGTACCTTAGGGTACAGAAAGCTAGGCTACAAATGTTTGTAAGAAAGCAAATAAAGCGTGCCCTTGTCTTTTTACACACAACACTCTCAAAGAATAAATCCACATCACCAACCGACCTCCTCAAGGACTTGCTCACCTCTTCTACCCAAACTATGGCAGATGCACATGCAAAGGCGTAGGAGTAAAATAATTGCATGGCAGCTAAAGGGAAAGAGTTGTCATTTTAATTTTGCAGAGCCACTGCCAGTCAGAGCAATAAAGCTGAGGTAAATGATCTAGTAAAACACAGCTTTCTAAGTTTATTTTTTTCTGGGTCTAATTTCCCCCTTGGGGAGAAAAACCTAGTTTTTTCTTGTTCACTGGAGCTTTCCCCCATCTGGGGGCCTCAAAAGGTGTGGCACTATACGTCCTACAGTCTGCAGATACCTTGGCCAGCTATGACAGCCAGCATTTCTGTACTGCAATCTGCAGACTCGGTCACTCCTTTTTGGTGGGTTGCCTTCCTTCATTATAAACCTCCCTCACTTCCCTTGCAGAGGGGACAATCTTCCTTCTGAGCCATCCACTGGGATACTGGGGCACAGCTAACCTGGTCTAGATCCAAGGGAGCACTAATAGAACTCAAGTAAGTTTAGAAGAGAAAGCAGCAGCTTATGCTTTTTTCTATTCAGTTTGACAGCAGGGAGAAAGTACAACAGATTTAGTCAGCCTCTGCCTCTTCCAATGCCCAGAGCACACTGAGAGACTCCCAGTTATCTGGCATACAGAGAGGATATGGTGGTGAGAAGGATTACTCATGGCCACAAATTATGGCCAGCTACCGTGCCAAGTGAAAATTCATAAACCTCTGATGACTACATTTATAAAAACCATTCCTTGAAGCGTTAAGTAATAGCTCGGGAGAAGGTGTAATGCATGCATGTCGCTAAAGCAACATTTAAATTATGCTTACGATGAACAGGAAAGGCAAAACACAGTAGTTATTCCTCCTCTCCCACCCAAAAACATTCATCGCAGTGAGTGGTGTCTCCATTTCTTCAATAGCAGAATAAATAAAAATCACTATTAAACTTCAACAACTAATATGAACTTTAGTAACTTACTTGTAGGACTTTTTAATCTTCGAATCCTTTTATTAACATTAAGTAATTAACCCTTGCAGCACCAGCAGTTTGTGATGTATTATTCCCATTTTACTAATGGAAAAAATGGAAAACAGAGATTAAATTATTTGTCCAGTAAAAGCAAGCAGTAATCAATGAGAAAATAGATTTGAAGCCACCTTAGAACTGTCCTGGACTTATGTACCAATAGAAGCCCTACAAATCTCAAAAGGTAAATCCTCCCTACCCATTTACTCTTTAGTCACCCCATCCCTCTCCTACCTAAGTCTTCACAAAGCCTCAATCATTGCAGTAGCTCTACTTCTCTTCCCTGTTTACTGTTACAGCCTCCTTGCCCATTATTTCTATTGTGCCAAATTTTAAACAGTCAGTTTTTCAGAATGTACTTGTGTATTTAATCAAGTCATGATAGAACCGAACTCGACCATAGAGAAAGCGCTTAAAAACTACGGACTTGGCCGCCGTTTCCCCATCCGGCCGCGAGCGGGTGAAGCGGCCCAAGACAGGCAAACTCTGGCCCGGCTTCCGCTCCGGGGTCTCGGACTCCCCGCCCGCCGAGACGAAGCCCCGGCGCCCCGACTTCACGGGGCCGTCCGCCTCCCCGGCGTTGGCCGTGGGGAACAAAGGCGGCTCCCCGGCCCCAAGGGCTCCTCCCGCCGCCCGGGGGGGGAAGAGCGCGCCTCCGGGGCTCGGCGAGGGCAAACGCTCCGGGCGTTTCGGCGGCTCCTGGCGGGATCGTCCGGCGGAGACTCCCCGCGCGCGGATGACCTTGGGCCGCCGCTTCCGCTCGCCTCGCGGGCCCGGTTGCTAAGGGCCCGCCGGAGCCGACCAGGCGCGGCGGAGGCGGCACTCGCCGGCCCGGCCCGGAGGCGCCCGCCGCGCAAGAGCAACAGGGCGCCCGCGGCGCGCAGCTCGGCCTAGGCCAGCGGGGGCGGGCGGAAGGCCTGCGCGGGAGCCCCGGGCCACGGGCGCGCTGCCCGAGCCCGCCGTTGCCGCCGCCGCCTCCCACGCCGCTCGCGGCGGTTACCTGCGAAGCGCTGAGAGGAAGGTGGGGCAGGCCGGCGCCTCCCCGCCGCCGGAGCCCGGCACCGCGGCGGCAGGGCAGCCCAGGCCCGGCAGGCCTCCCCCGCCGCGCGGGTCGCACCAAGCGCCGCCGCCGCCGCCGCCGGGGCTCGGTCGCGCTCAGCAGCCACAGCAGCGGCCGGTCGCCATGTCCCGCCTACCGACCTGCTGCACCGCGCGGAAGGACCCGGATGCTGGCGGGGGAGGGAAGGCGCGAGCCCAGCGGCCTGCCTGACGCCGCCACTGCGCAGGCGCGCAGGCGGGGCGGGGCGTCCTGGCGGCCGGTGTTCCCGTGCGGGGCTCCGCGCAGGACCGCCGTGGTCGCCTTCGGGGCCGCCTCCGGAGAGCAGCAGGGCCGAGGCCGCGGGGAGCGCCTGGCGGCCGGCGCGAACAACAAAACGCTGCGGCGGCTTCTCTGCGCGAGGGGGCTTCTGCCCTCCGCTCCTGGCCGGGGACGTCGTCCCGGCGACCTCCCGGAGGCAGCCCTCTGCTGCCCGGGTGGGAGGGCGGTGCGGAAGGGCTGGAGAAAGCCGAAGCCCCCCCGGCGACGTTTCCCCAGGAAAGCGGGGCCGAGCCGAGGGGCGCCGCGTCTTGGCCAGGCGCTGCTCCAGCTGTAGGCGTCACCCGCCTTCCGCAAAGCTTCCCGAGGGTTTCCCTGTTAAGGGACGGCCGGGTCTCCCCGTCGGTGAGCCACTCGGGCTGACCCTGGATCCGGCGCCTTTTTTCTGTGCAGAAGCAGGAGCCCCGGGGCACGGCTAAATGCCCAGGGGTCCCGCACCGGCTTCGGCTGCACATGCATGAAGTGTAGCCAGGCAGCGCCCCCCCCCCCCGGAGTAGCAGACTGCCCGCAGACTGGCACAATGGCAGGACGTGCACCAAAGGCCTCTCTGGTCAGCCTGGACGGCTGCAGATGGAGACAGAGGAGTGACCAGTGGGGCTCAATCTTGGGGCCAGCGTTCAATACTTTCAATAAGGACAATGAGATTGATGGATTGCTTATCAAATTTGGAAAATGAAGATTGTAATTAATCTGGAGAGGGTGGGAAATTAGGCAGAGAGGACCAAAACAATATTTCACAGAGAAATGTAAGGGATTGTATTTAAAGAGAAAACATGTACACATACACAACTCCGTTAGAAACAAAGTTGTGTCAAAGATGTGGGAAATCTTCATTTTCCTTCACTGTGTTGCCAAGAGGAGAGAGGAACACAAAGGCAGACACAAGCTATATGAAGCTTTTATTAAACCCTATTAAATGTTCAACAGCAGATTCTTAACAAAATTACACCTAGCTTTGGAAATAGTTTTGTCATTTCATCAGTTGCAACATAAAGACAGACGGGGGGGGGGCGCTGAAGAACAGGACAGGGCTGCAGATTCAGCCTAATATTTGTGTGCAAACCCAGCAATTTTTTATAGCATAGGAAAAAAAATTGCAAGCAGAACAATTCCCCTTGAGGGACCCTGCTTTTGTCTGATGGCTCAAAATAATCCCAGGCAGAGACTTCTATTTTAATAGTCAAAAATGAATACTTTTCTAATGCAATTTAGTATAATGCAGTGATCACAAATGGATTTTATTCATCAAAAATGAACTTTAACCTGAGCCCAGAAATACAGGTGGCTCTTGCTTAATGACCACTCATTCAGTAAGTCAACTTACAACAGCACTGAACCAAGTGGTGCTTCTAATTGGTCCTTTTACTTACAAAGCATACCTGCAGTTATGGGATCTCCATCTGGGTGCTCAGCAATCAACTATAATGTTGCAACATCCTACGGTTCCACAGTTGCTATCTGTGAGTTTCACTGTTGGCTTCCAGCAATCAAAGTCAAGGCAGTTACAAACAGCAGCCATGGGAATTGCAATTAGCAACACCAGAATTTATTTAACAATGGCAACTAAAAATATTGAAACTGCCATACTAAGTAGCACATTCATGTGACATTGTGCTTTATGACTATATTGCTTAGTGACGGCATTCAGAATTTCTACTCCCAATTGCTGTCCTTCAGCAAGAACGATCTGTAGTGAGAGACCATCAACCCTGACATACAGGACTTGAACATTTTATTCACAGTAGCCCTTGTTGATAAAATCATCAGGGTTAACATTTAACAGCCTGTCACTGTTGCTGTGAACATCCCAAAGTGCTTGCTCCATCTGGCCCCGCCCTCCCCCCCCCCCGGGGAACAGACGATGCCCTTCGCTGAACATGCGTGATTGGGGACCCCTTTTCCATTTTCATGCAGGACCCCTCCAGTCGTACTTTCGTTAAAAAGAACAGCATCACTCAGGAGCTGGACACAACGGGTTTAGGGAGAATGAATTTAAAAAATCCAAGATTTCAGTTTTAAGCAAGTTTAAATAACTTAAATCTATCACTGCATACAATCAAAGGCCACTGCTGTAAAGAAAAACACGTGTTAACGAATATAGCTTTTCAATGCTCAAAATATGATTTGTCAATTCAGAGCCTAATAAAAATATATAAAATGAGAATACTTTTGCAAAGCATTTGCTATGGGTAACGTTAGTCATTCTCCTAGGGCTAACTTCCTGTATGATTTCACTACCACATAGACCTTGCAGAGTTGTGTTAAACAAAGTTCTTTCATACACACATACAATCTATTTTCAGTCTTATTTTTTTCAAAATGAAATGTTACCATAAAATACAAGTCACAAGACGAGAGAAAACAATTTGCCTGCATGAATTAAATACATTGCTGTTTCAATGTTCCATCTATATATATTTTTTCTGCAATGAAGTCATGACTATGTATGAGATACAAACTGTACACATTCACTTTATTTCAGAAACATGTAAAATTATTTTGCAATGTTAATGTTTAACACAAAGATTACAGATAAAGAACAGTCTTACAGCCCAGTCCGGTAACTAACCCACTCCTCATCATGTAGGACAAAGCATCTCTTTTATTTGCAAAGAGCTGGAACCCACTAGACGCACATCACTACATTTTACCTTTTGCTTCCAAGGTTTCACGTCGGACAGCACACTGCCTCTGGTCTCCCGATTCTTTTGCCCCAAACACTGAAGACTTGCAGAATCTCTCAGAAGAAAGTCATTGAGGCTTTAAAGGACATCATTAAAACGTGGTTTCCCATAGTCCACCAGGTCCATTTGGAGGTCCCGCTCCTCATCATCTGCAAGGCAAGGAGGAAAACCAATCTTCATTTCTCTCCGACAATGGGCGAGAAGAGGGGAGGCACAGAGGAGCACCTGGCTACAAAGGCTGCCTTTTCCTTTGCACACCTGGCTGGGATTGGGGTGCTGCAACTGCAACGCAACTGATGAGTCCAGATTTCTCAGCCCCTCACCTTGGTTTGGGAATTAAACATTGCACCCATTTGCCCATCAGACCTGTCTGTAACAGAAAAGTGGACCAGCTGGTTTTATTATTTTTATTTTTCTTTCCAATCTAACGATCATAGAGGAAATGAATTATGTGAAGGATGTTGGGACTTCTCAGTTTATCTGACTCAAAACTGAACAGAACAGGATGCAATGTTGTGTGCAGGAAGAAGCTGGTCAAAGAAAGATGCCGTCTGAAATTGGACCAGAAAGACTGAGACCAAGTTTCTCCAATGACCCTTATGGAAGAAGCCATGATTTGACAAGTGGCCAGCTTCTCCATCCTAAGCCCCATAGTCACACGACCAGAGCATGGGATTTTGAGATGTCCCTTGCCTGGCCTTAAGGGGATGAAACCCAGGGTCGCTTTATGTTTTATAAAGCTGAGTGTCATTCCCCCCCCCCCGCCTTTGCCTTACATGCTTCCTCCCAAGTGGGTTCAATTTTGAGACCCGCTGCTCTGGCTGCAGTAAGGCTGGTGCCATCTGCTGATTACTCACCCGATTTAGCCAGACATTCCAGAGGACTGAATTTCAGCAGTCTTGTGTTTTATAACCTCACTTTCGCTTCATAGTTTAATGCGCCCCTCTCATCCTATTAAATCCTTTCCAAGTCCAATAGGAGACAAAATTTGAAGCTCAGGATTGAACTGTGAAGTCCTTGGTGCTCTCTGAACTTGTTTTCTTGCAGAGATTTTATTACCCAACTAAGTAACACAATGCTATAAAGCAGGGGTCCCCAACCCCTGGTCCATGGACCGGCACCGGTCTGCAGCATGCCAGCTAACAGGCCGCACAAACAAGCAAAGCTCCATCCTTGGGATGTAGGCAGTATTCAAAACCACGCCCCCTCTGGTCCCCGGAAAAACCTTTCTCCATGGCACCAGCCAAATAATGGAACTCTATACAAATCCCAGAGTTTTTTTTTTACATGACGAAGTTAAGTGAATGGGATGGAGATAAGGCCCAAGCTCACCTTGGACGTCTTCTTCACCACCATCACCATCCTCTTCCTCATTGTAGGCCAGCTCAGCCTGCTTGTCTGCCTCATACTCACCCACGTTCCCATCATCCCCATTATAATCCGCCAGTTTAGATCCATGCTGAGGATTAACGGGGGACTCATTCTCATCAAAGAACCGGCCTGTGAAGTAGGCAAAGGATCAGTCAGAAGCCAGGAGAAGGGGGGAGGGGGGGCAGAGAGAACAGGGGAGGCTTCAGTGTCAGCCCTTTGGGAAGCTGCAAAAAGGAACTTGCAGCTCCTCCAGCACCAGGAACCCCAGAAAAGTGAGTATTCTTTATACAGAACTTCATAGGAAAAAAAAAAATCACAATATGAGTCAAGACTAGACATTTCGCTTCGTGTTCCAAGATCCTTCTGTTGTGAGGGAAAGCAATATCGCCTTTTTTGGCTAAATAACTAGCAAGATGGGTCCAAAATCTCACGTGTTGTACAAATCCTGTTTTTGTCACAGAACGGTTACTTTTCAAGGCTCAATTTGCTGTGTTTTTCATGCAGAGATTTTAAATGCTTGCTTTAAATGAAGGCAATTTATACTGGTTGGATACTTTTTAAGCATACCTTGACCTCCATTTATCAGAGCTGATGAAAACATCTGGTCATTTGGGCTAAATTTACAATAATTAACATACTCCAGCCTATAGAAAATTCCCAATATTTTAGAAAAGTACAAATTGTGAAACATAATTTCACAATGAAAACAAATTAAGTTGAAGAAAACGCTGTAACTTCTCGTACGTTGCAAGGTCGAGTGCCCTGTCAAGTGGGTGAACGGGAGCCGAGGCCAGTTGCCGGATGGGGAAAAGAGGCAAGAGGCCGCCGGTGGCACTTGAGAAGTCACCTTGCAAATCCTTCCAGCGTTTCCTCCAAAGCATTCCAGGAGTCATAAAAGAGCCACGGTTGCCTACCCCTGGCCTAGAGAATACGATGTTTGAATTAGTGTATCTATCGATTTGATCATTCAGAATATCGGTGTGTTAGATAATGCTAAGAAATACAAAATTATATCCAAGAGTTCAGATTAAGAAACAGTGTTGACTTGGAGGTCAGAAGTTTAGAAGGAATAAATTATGTTGGTTATAGACTATAAATTATGGTTTGTCACACAGTCAGCCAGATATTTAGACTGGATTTGGCATTTTTACCCACCTAAGGCAGCCAAGGTTGCCTACCCCTGCTCTAGGCTATAAACCGTTCCTCAGACATTCCCTTACCATCCTTGCTGTTCCCATTTGTCAAAATCTTTCTTTAAATGCAGTGCCCAGAATGGGACACAATATTCTCGACAAATGTCTAGCTAGCCAGTTTGGTCTAGTGCAGGGGTAGGCAACCCAAAACACTTAAAGAGCCACTTGGACCCGTTTCCCACCAAAAACAAAACACTGGGAGCCGCAAAACCCTTTTGATATCTAAAATGAAGATAACACTGCATATATCCTTTTTTACCTTTATTATAGGTGTGTGTGTGTTTGTGTGTATGTGTGTGTGTGTGTATATGTATATGTATTTATGTATGTGTATACACACACACACACACACACACAGGTAAAAAAAGGATATATGCAGTGTTATCTTCATTTTAGATGTCAAAAGGGTCTCTCTCTCTCTCCCTCTCTATCTGCCCTTGGTCTGCCACTCCTCTTCCCCCGCTCTCTTTCTTTCTCTCTCTCTCTGTCCTCTCTCTCTCTCCCTCCCTCTCTCTTTCTCTCTCTCTCTTTCTCCCCCCCCCTCCTATCTGTTGCTCACCTGGCAAGCTTCAAGCTGTTGTCCAACAAGCAACCTCGTCTCTTTTATGACTCATGGACTTCAACTCCCAGAATTCCTGAGTCAGCCTAGCTGGGCCAGCTAGCTCTCTCCTGCCCTTCCTGCTTCCTGCTTCCTGCAGAGATGCAGCAAAGGGAGGAGCTCCGCCCAGTAAGCTTTTCAGCTCCTCGGAGAATACTGTGAGTGCACTCTCTTTTACACATACACACAGACACAGACACAGACACACACACACACACACACACACACACACACAGAGAGAGAGAGAGAGAGAGAGAGAGAGAAGCAGGGAAGCACAATTGCCTCTCTCTGTCTCTCTGCAAAGGCAGAGGAGGCTGGGAGCCACGGGGGAAGGCTCAAAGAGCCGCATGCGGCTCCGGAGCCGCAGGTTGCCGACCTGTGGTCTAGTGGTTAAGGCTCCAGACTAGAAAGGAGACTGTGAATTCACATCCCACCTTAGCCAAGAAAGGCAGCTGGGTGACTTTGGGCCAGTTTCTCTCAGCCCAACTCATCTCACAAGTTTGTTGTTATGAGGAAAATAGAAGTAAGATGTACTGGATGTTTGACACCATGAGTTGTTTATAAAAATAATAAAGGCAGGATACAAATAATTTTCACCAATACAGAATCAACAATAATCACTTCTCTCAATCTTGATGCTAAATTTTGTTAATGTGGGCTAATATTGCATTTGCATTTTTGCAGCTGAATCACACGGCTAGTTTATATTCAGCTTGTGCACCACCAAAAGCACCAGATATTTTTTTGACATGGATTCCTGCCCTATTGGGCCTTCTTCATTTTACACCTGCTGTTTTTTGTCCCTACCCAGAGCTTAGATTCTGAATTTGTCCCCATTGAAAAATCTTGCTGATTTTGCCCAGCTGTTCTAGACTATGATTCTTCAACTCCCACACCTCACCGCAGGGATAAGGTTCTTTTTTGAAATGCAGTTTTTGTTTTCTCCAAGCATTACATTGCTTGATTCCAACGCATTTAATAAGTTCTTTCTTTATTTGCCGACAAAATGTTATTCCAGTGGCTGATTAGAGCACCTAGGTGCTCTCTGGCAAACTTGCAGTGGGTAGCAATGTGCTTTCTGGAGACCGTTGGCTTCCTCCTTTGGCATCTTCCCATGCCCATCACTCTCATGCAGTGGTATGATGGTATCATGCACACTGACATCAGGCAGTGTAAAAATGCTCTTTAGATCCTTTGGGTTCATGATTTAGATTTGCAACTTCCACAAGTTTACATCATGAACCCAAGAGTTTGAAGAAGGCAATCAGTATGTGAGATGGGAGGTTATTTTGTTTTGTTTAAAGAGCAGGAACCCTCCAACTCACCCCTGATGGCCATCTCAGATTTGAACATCTGATTCATTAGTCCCTTAAGAGAGGCTAATTATCCTAGAGCTTGGTATGCTTTTTCCAGCAAAGAGTTTATGTCAGCTGTATGCATTCCATACAGACATAAAACACTGCAGAGTACACTGCCTTTGTTTCATCAGAATCCATTTCCAGATAGGACTTACACAAAGCTCTGATCACAGCACTGCAGGATGATGGAGTCACAAACCTCATACCACTGTGGTGGACCATGAGCTTCCCTAGCATGTTGAGTAGGTCTAGAAGGTAGAACTCAGAGCTTCTGAGATGAGTTTATAGCACAGCAATTAATGGCTAAGATTTTTAAAAACAAAGACATCTGAATACAAATATACTTAAAACAGTCAGCTGGTAGACATTAGGTGTTTTAATGAACTTGAGATAACACATGCAATTATGCTCAATGATCATGGTCTGACTCACTTTGCTTCATTCTCTGAAAGTTGTTGACTCTCTCCTTGGAAGCCTGTTTTGCAAGCTGTTTTTTGGTTTTTTGAATGTCCAATGTGTGTTCAGAAATTGCACGCTGAAGATAGTTTGCTGGTACCTGGTTTACCATGTCAGTATTACCCTCCAGTATTGCAGCTGGGGAAGACAAAAATACACAGTCAGAGTTCAAGGACACAGAGAAAAGTGTATAAAGCTCATGATGAAGGGCACATCAACAAGACTTTCACCCAGTACACATGATCTCACCTGGAACCAGATTTAGAGTACGGGTTTTTTCCGTGAAAACTTTTCCACCAGGCTGATGCTGATTTTGAGAAGTTGAAAAAAGTGGCTTCTTCAAAGCTAAAAACATAAATTCATACCATGACTCACAGGTGTAAAAACTAATTAAATGTATTACAAAGTAATTATTTAGTACTTGGTTCAAAGAGGCCAAAAAAATAATTCTGCTAAAGGCCAATGTTTGCAACAGGATCCAGCTATGGCTCTAAGCCAGGGGTGTCAAACTCAATTTCACTGAGGGTCGCATCAGCACTGAGGTTGCCCTCAGGGGGCCAGGTGGGTGTGGCCTACTAGGTGGGTGCAGCCTTCTGGGTGGGTGTGGATGGAGTGGGTGTGGTCTACTAGGTGGGTGTGGCCAGCTCTACATCGTTCACGTCAAGGGTGCCTGTGGGGGCCTGGGCAGGAGTGGGATAGATCTGAGGGTCTCTGGCAGAAGGGGGTGGGACCGGGGCAAGTGCCAAGGAATGGTCCACTGGAGGAGCCTCACTGTTCCTCTCAGGCCATGGAGCTAAGACTGAATGCGTTTCAGCATAGATGGCCACCACAAAATTGTACATTGGCTCCCGGCCGGCCTGGGCCAGGGTCAAGGCAGCGGGGGCTGTTCCCTCACTGTTTCCAGGATGGCTTCGCGGGCCACATGAAACCACTTTGCGGGCCGCATCCGGCCCCCGGGCCTTGGGTTTGACATGTCTGCTCTAAGCAAATGAAGATGTTCACCATAAATCTCCCTAGTTATAATGGTCATAATCCCGGTTCCTGGAGGAATCAGAGAATCACCTCTGTATCCCAGTAGCCCTGAAGGGTTTGAGGATTATAGCATCCGCCAGCATTAACAACCAATGAATAAAAATGTGCAATTCCAGATTTGGTGAAAAAACAGTGCATTTATTAACAAATATACATTACCTCAAACTTGGGACTTGACAGTAAACAGAAGTCCTCTGTCAACACAGCAACCTCTCAGAAGTTTTAAGAATCAAAAAAGTATCTAAAAAGGATCCTCTTATTACAACCCACTTAAAAAGGAAGATCTTAAAAACATTTCCTAACCAGGGTCAGGACTTCCATGAAGAAGTCCTGCCTTGCAACCCATCTCTCTATTTCAGATCAGAATGGGACATGAAGCAGTTAGTGCCAACTGTCAATGCCAACTGAAAAGCAACATAGTTAAGAACCCAGAAATAAGGCTGCAAATGTGTTTTACTGCATGTGTAAGGAAAACATCACCAATCTTATTTGTCAGAGTGGCATTTTTAAATATCCTGGGTCCCATTTATCAGTTCAAATATCTGTCTATGGAGTGAGCAGAAATGCAAGAGAAAACCAACATTAGATTTGAGATACTAACCAGTGAGTGTATCTTCACCTTTGGCAGGGTCATTCTCTTCTATTCCAGGCATGCCTGCATCATCTCCAGGTTTAATCTTTTCTGTGAAAACAAGGTATTTTTTCCTTTGCTGCACCATCCACTGAAGCTCTACGACTGGTGCCTTCAGACTGTTCAATGGAAGGGAGTTGGAACGGTAACAGAGGAAAGTTACCTCACCTCCCATGTCCTGCTGCAGTCAGGTTTACCCCACCCCCAGCTGATGGAACTGTGCAGGGCCACCAGATCTGTAGTCTGGCCAAGTAACTTGCCAGGCAGGTATTTGCCACCCTCCCATGAATGCCAGAGGGACCCTGGTGCCTTACCACAGCTGTCCCAGACAGACCTTTGCCATCTGATATATTGTTGGTTGATGGTGCTTCATTCTTAACTTCGTTCAGTTTTTGAGTTGCCTTTACTGTTTTTGGACTCTCACTCAATCCTCTCTCAATGTCTTTGGTGAATTGGCTCCTGTGTGTGGCCTGCTGTGAAAATGTTCCTTAAGCATTAAAAGCTAAACTTACAAGGAAAATATTACTTTATCTTTAATTTAATCCAATGCTTCATATTTCATTTTTGTGATCAACATATAGAAATCATTCTGCTTTCTTTTCACCTTTGCCTCACCACTTTCTACAGCCCAAGTGTAAAAAAATAAAAACTCTGCCTGGATACAGCAATTAGTGTCGCCAAGTCTGTTCCTTGCTAGTCCCATCTTATACCCATGTTGGGAGGGAGCAAAAGCAGATGGCAGACACCTGGGTTCATCCTTCGCAAAGAGAGCCATGTTACCTTCTGGTCCTGCAAAACTTGGTCCTCCAATTTTTTCATATCTTCTTCATGTTGTATTCTTAGTTCTTTGATTTGCTGCCCGCATTGAAAACTAGAACCAAGATGGAGAGCAGAATTTAGAACCGAGATTGACAGATTTTCTAGGCTCCCCACTATATTATTTACGATCTGCCTAGTAAGGTTCTTTTCTGTATAACACACTGAATATATTAAAAGGCCTTTATATGAAAGTAGACAACCAGATATCTACTCGGTCATTGTTTCAGAGATACTTCCTTATCAGTTTCCTCACTGCTTTCAAAAATGGCAGAGCTTCCAGTGTACTTGAAAAGTTCTTTTCAAAATTCAGGGAGATTGAGACATGTATCTGCCTTGAAAATACGCTATGATGAACTGTATAGTACAAAGATCAACCCTTGACCACAGGGAAAGGTTTTTACGTTTTTCATTACATCATAAAATATTTTATAATTGTTACATCATAAAATATTTTATAAAATTTGCCAAATTTCAATTTGATGGGAGTCATAGGTTCCAAGATTTTGGATTCATTCTGTAACTTAGTCCAACTTGAGATATCTTTGCTTAAAAACTGTTGCACTTTGATACAGTTTCACCCAATTAAAGGTCACAGACAAATAGGAGAGTTGTGAGACTGACAGACAGGGTCTCTTAACTTTTTTGAGGCAATCCTTCACAAAAATCTTGATGAATCATGAACCAGAGCAGAGTGGCACATATTTTTCACTCCCATCCTACTACAGCACCAGTAAATTGACCATTTTACATTGTCTATTGACTTTGGAGAACTGCACTCTACTTGCAGATTTTATTTCTACAAAAAAGCAAAGCAAAACTTGTTCCATTCTCCTTCTCCTTAATAATTATAAAGCTGCATTGATCCATCAAACAATACGGCCGAGGCCAAACATCTTAACCTATTTTATATAACAATTGCAAAAGAACATTAATGTTAAAATAATACTCAACACTGATCCTAAAGCTCATAAACAAATGAGCTGACCTGGCAGCGATGTCTTATAACTAGGTTACTTTTATTCACATTTAATCCCTCACCTTTCATACTCCAATCTTTTAAGAAGTTGTGTATTGTTTTTCTTGTATTCATGAAGATAGTCCTCTTGTTGTAGGAATTCTTGACGCAATTCTGCAAGTTGTTCTAAGCCAAAGTATAAACATTTGAACAATTTAAAAAATGCTCCATACTTTAGCCTTGTTTTTTGCTGAGTAATTTTCCACAATAGTAATAAAAATATGTTTATTGAAGTAAAATAAAAATGATGTACCTTTCTGAATTCTTATTCAATGGCTACTTTATTACAAAACAATAGAGCAGTGATGGCGAACCTTTTAGAGACTGAGTGCCCAAACTGCAACCAAAAACCCACTTATGCATCGTCGGGTGCTGGGTGGGCGTGGCCCATTGGCTGGGTGTGGCCCATTGGGTGGGCGTGACTGTGATAACGGCAGACAGGGTGGGACTAAAAAGTTCAATTAATTCCAACTTTGCAAGATCTTTTTTTCCCCTGTGAGAAATTGAAATTGACTGATTGAACCTTTTTTTTTTTTTTTTTGCACACGGTAGCGGAGGCCTAAAGCGAAAAGGTTTTATAAAACCCAGCTGAAGGCCTAGGACTGGGCAACGGCACGCGTGCCCACGGAGAGGGCTCTGAGTGCTGCCTCTGGCACCCGTGCCATAGGTTCGCCACCACTGCCCATTAAAAAGGTCCAGAAGATGGTTTCTGGTTTTGACATCGTGGCAGTGCAGGCGCAGGAAGACAGAGAAGGAGGGAGGATGTTTAATAAATATCAACGGGCTAGTTCTTCCAAAAATATTTTAACTAATTTTTTTTTTTCAAATAATATACACAAAAATAGAGGAAGCATTATTTGGTGATCCAAATGCACTGACTTGGAAAGTTAGTTGACAAAGGAAGAAAGCTAGAGTAAGACTGAAGGAAATAGAAGCTTTGACTTATTAAAGGGGATGTAATATTACCAATTAGATGTTTGAATATGGGTAAGAATAGATCGCTAGAAATAGAAGCATTATTATAACTAGATAGATAGGATTTGTAATCAAATATAATATCTTGGTAAGAAAAGGGAAATAAGAATATGCTAAGAACTTTGAATAAGGGAAGCTTTTAATTACCCAAAAATAACTTGTTCAGAAATTATAAATGATTGGGATATTTTGAACATGGATGGGGAATTAAAATTTAAAAAAGCGAAAGTAGGATATAGACTGAATAAATGGATATTGGGTGCAAATGCAATTAAAATATGCTTTAGTTAGAAAAGATATTCTAAGCTGATATTATTGACACTATTTAAAAAATGTAACAAATGTTGATAGGCAATTGTATATTTACTCACAACAATAAGAACTGTACTTGCTTAGTGTGGAAAAATGTCTATTACCAGAAGACGAGAGGATGTACTGGAGGGTGTAATATCGGATTTAGTTTGAAGAAGCTTACATGTACCACAGAATCACTAATGGACTCAGTCGTTAGGCACTTGATTGTAAAAATAAAAAATAATGAAATATTTATTTTAAAAAAGGTCCAGAAGATAATGGATTTTTTCAGAGGTGCTCCCTATCTATATCTAATATCTCATATTATAGTAAATTTATAATACTTATGTAGCCAAATATTTTAAAGAGAAATTACCGTAGTCCACAAAAAGTAGGTTACACCTGTAGCTATTTTTCAAAACATCAAGAGAGCACATTGCCTACTTGGTATTATATTTTACTGCTGTTATGTTATTCAGTTATAAAAACATGTTTACACCAAGAACATTTACCCTTTAAGCGTCGTATGTCTGCCATCTGGTATGATATGTTGCTCTGAAGTTTGACCTAAAAACAAAAAGTAAGTAGTGAAGTAGTACAGATCCCTGTTCCGATAATAAAATTTTCTAGAATGAATGATTCTGAAAGCAGCTCTGACTAGGGCAGGGGTGTCAAATTGGTGGCCTGTGGGCCAGATGCGTCACGCACACACCACGCCCACCCTGGCTCCGCAAAGGTAAAAAACATCACAATATGTTGTGTGACCGGGGCGATGCTGCACAGGTTGTAACTAGGAAAAATTGTCATAAGTCACTTTATCCAGTGCCATTGTAACTTTGAACAGTCACTAAACGAACTGTTGTAAGTCAAGGACTACGTGTATTGCTGGTAATGATTTTAGACGCGGTTTTTGTCTTGTGCCGCACTTGCTTCTGAAATGGGGGCACCATCAATTAGGTCAGGGGTAGGCAACCTTGGCTCTTTTATGACTGTGGATTTCTGGGAGCCAAGGTTGCCTACCCCTGAATTCGGTAAACAGAAGGGTTCCCCCTGTCCTTCAGGGAAGGCGGCCTCCGCATTCAACCGGCAAGAAGACACCGAGGCATCTCCCACCGTCCCTTTCCTCTCGTCTTCCCACCAGAGCCGCCTTCCTTGCAAAGCCCGGCAGAACAGCTGCTCTGAACCGGAGCTGCCCCGCCAGCTCCGCCTGGGACCCTCCTCACCTTGCCCTCCTCGCACGTGCGGACCTGGCCGTCCCTGGCCTGGAGCTGGCTGCTCAGCCGGCTGCGCTCGGCCTCCTTCTGCTCCAGGGCCTTCTTGTGCGACTCCACCTGCAGCAGCAGCTCCGAGTTCCTCTTCTCCAGGCGGCTCCGGGCCACATCGCCGCGCTTGGCCTGGCCCTGCAGCTCGGCCGCCTCCTCCCGCAGGGCCCTCTGGCGGGTCGACGAGCTCCAGGCGTTGAAGGCCAGCGCCGCGATGATCAGCAGCAGCGCCGCGAAGAGGAATGAGGGGAGGCGACCGCCCCGCCGGTTGCTGCCGAATCCCGCCATGGGCCGGGCCGGGCCGCTCCTTCAGCGCCGGGCGGGACGGAAGGGCGGGGGACTCATGGGCAGCGCCCCCCTCCTCGGCCCGGCCGCGCGCCGAGCAGCCACCAGGACCCCGCGCCGGAGGCTCCGCGCCCCGAATCCGGCGCCGCCACCGACGCGCCGAGTAGCAACCTCGCGGCCTGCGCCGCCGCTCAGCCTGCGCCGAGGGGCTGCCGCCTGAGGGTCCCGCGGGGCCGCTGCTGGAAGGGAGCCTCTCAAGGGCAAACCGCGGCGCCCCGCGGGCCCAGCTCGGGCCCCGGCCGCCGCCGCCTCCCAGGGCCGGGCCGGTCAGGATCGCGGACGGGCCGAGGCTGAGCGGCCGCCGGGAAGGAGGGTGCGGGAAGCCCCGCGAGGCGGTTAACGGCGCCCGCCCGCCTCCGCCTCCGCAGCGGTCCGCCACTTCCGCGTCGCCCTACCGTCCGTCCCGCAGCCGCGCCTCTCGCGAGAAGAGCGGGGCCGCGCGCCCTCGCAGCGAGGTTTACGAGGGGCGCGGCCAGCGTAGTCCCGCCCTCCGGTGCGTCAGAGGGCGGGGCGCGGCTGCGGGTGGGCTCCCTGGCTGCCATCTCCAAGCTGGGCTGGACGCCTTACAGCCTCGGGATGGACGTTGAGCCCCGGTATCCCTGCGTGCTGGCTGGGGCATTCTGGGAGTTGAAGTCCACGCGGCTTAAAGTCGCCGAGTTTAGAAAACACCGGCTTAGCTTGGTGCTCCTCGACCTTGGCAACTTTAAGATGTGCCTTCAACTCGCAGAATTCTCCAGCCAGCCATGCTGCAGAATTCATGTTGAGGTTGACCCCCGGCATTCCTGTATGATGGCTGGAGAATTCTGGGAGCTGAAGTCCCCACCTCTTAAAGTTGCTAAGCTTGAGAAACACTGGCTTAGTTAAATGCCTGGAGAGTTGATAGGGGACAGAGAGAGGTGAGAGGAGAGCAGTTTTCCAGCGACCCCAGACCATTTCAGACAAATGGCTGTCCGGTCTCTTCTTAAAAACTTCCAGTGTTGGATCATTCACCGCTTCTGGAGGCAGCTTGTTCCACTGTCAGAAATTGTTCTAACTGTCAGAAAATGTCTCCTTAGTTCCAGGTTGCTTCTCTCCTTGATTAGTTTTCATCCATTGTTTCTTGTCCTGCCTTCAGGTGCTTTGGAGAACAGCTTGACTCCCTCTTCTTTGTGGCAGCCCGAGATATTGGAAAGCTGCTGTCATATCACCCCTAGTCCTTCTCTTCATTACACTAAACCAAGGGTTCCCAATGAGGGGTCTGAGATGATATTCCAGGGTGTGTGAAAACTTGGGTTTTCAAAATTATAATATATATGCATAATTCGTTGCCGTTATTCAAACTTTTGTAAGGGGTGCGAGAATATATCAGAAGCATTGTAGGGGTATAGAAAAGTTTGGGAACTGCTGTACTAGAACGGGGTTAGGCAGCCTTGGCTCTTTTATGACTCGTGGACTTCAACTCCCAGAATTTCTGAGCCAGCATAGCTCAGCATGGAAACCTCCCTGGCTGGCTCAGGAATTCTGGGAGTTGAAGTCCACGAGTCATAAAAGATCCAAGGCTGCCTACCCCTGTACTAAACCTACCCAATTCCAGCAGCCCTTCTTTATGTCAGTAGAGACTGCAGTTCTTAATGCAGCCAGTGGGGGCAACAAATCAATAACATTTTCTGTCTCTTAACCAAGGAAATTATTCTATTACGATAAAGAAAAAAATCTCAACACTTAAATCTTCCACAGCACAGTTTTTAAAAAATCATGTTTAAGATATGTATTCCCCCATAGTGTCATTTTTGTGTAAGAAAAAATTTCAAAATGCTATTTTAAGCAATAGGCATACCAACCATCTCAAATTCATAGAGACAGAGCAGCAGAGATATATCTTGAATTATATTAATTAGAAGAGATGCTGTGTATGAATATTCCAAAAGATCCCAGGAAAGATAGTGTATCTTAGATATTAAGTTGTCCAAAATACAGTACTTGTTAAAAGACATACTTAATGATATGAGTAGCATTACTTTTATTTACAATGACCTAAGAATATAATTCCACATTCAGGAAACTAAAACCTTTAACTAAAAATTACATCTTTTACAATAATTCCTTCAGATTTTAAGGCAAGGATTTACCGAACAGTATATTGAGCTTTTAACATGCTTTCCAGATAAGGGAACTCCGTGTAAAATTTATTTTTATATTATATATTATTTATTATTAATATAAAGAGAGAGAGAGTTTGGTCTGGTGGTTAAGGTAAGGTACCAGGTTGGGAAACTTGGGGGGCCATAAGTTCAAGTCCTGCCTTAGCTAATAAAAGGCAACTTCGGCTACTCGCTCTCTCCCAGTGAAACCCACTCGCGACTGGCGCGGCTCGCCTCCCCCGCTACCTCCGCGGCCCCGGAGGCGCTGGACTCCCCGGGAGCTTCTCCGCAGCGGCTCCGCATCCCCAGCGCCGCGTCCCGCCGCGATCCTCTTCCAGGCGCCCGGGGACCGCCCTGCCCGGCGTCCACGGCGCGGAGCTTCCCCAGAAGCGGCGGCCCGGCCGAGACCGAGCGAGGCAGCCGCACCCGGGGCCGCCGCTTCCTCGCGGGGGCGCCGCGCTCTGGCCCTGCGGGTAGTGCCCACCGCGGCTACGGCTGCCGGGCCCCGCCGGAAAGGCCAAGAGCCCCCCCGGCCCCCCGAGCGGAGCGGCACATTGGTCTGCGCGCGAGATCGTCAGAGGCGGCGCCGGGCCCGGATTGGCCTCGGCGGCCACGAACCGGCGAGTCTAGCTCGGCGCCGCCCCCCCCCGCGCCCCCCCGCCCGCAGCCGAAAGCCGCGCCGTTCGCTGCCTGCCTGCCTGCCTCCCGCCTGCCTGCCTGCCTGCCGGCGTCCCCCCCCCCCGCCCAGCCGGGCTTTGTGCGCGCCCAGCCGAGGCAGGCGGCGGCGGCCCCGGCCCTCCTCGCCCGCCAGGCAGCCACCTGCTCCGGCCATGTGAAGGCGCACGCCGCGCAGCCCCGGCGCCGGCCAAGATGCTGAGCCGGCTGATGAGCAGCAGCAGCAGGAGCCTGGACCGCGACTACCCCTGCACCGTCCGCCTCCTCGACGACAACGAGTACTCCTGCACCATCCAGGTGGGGGCGCCGCGCGGGCGGGCGGGCGAGCCGTCCTCGGGGCAGCGAGCTGGGCGGGCGGGCGGCTCGCCGGGCCTGCCGCTGCCAGGAGACGCCGCGCTGGGGCCGGCCTGGCGAGCGGCGGCCTCGGGCGGGAATCCAGCCGGGCGAAGGGCGGCGGCGCGGCTCTTCTGCGGGCGCCGGACCGAGCGGCCAGGAGGGGCTGCGGGGCGGGCCGTGCCCGGCGGCGATGCGTGCCTAAGCGCGGCGGGGAAGAAACTTCTGTCCGGGGAGACGCGGCAGGGGGCGGGACGGGGCCTCTCCGCCGACCGAGCCCTCCCGGGGACTCGGTACGAAGCGGCGGACCCGTCGGGAGCGAGGCTCGCACGGCCGCGAGACTGCGACCGTGCCGGCCCCGACGGAGATGCTGCCGGGCTGGTTTCAGGGCTGCCCGGCTCGGCTCGGCTCCGGAGGCGCCTTTTGCTGCGCCTGGCCCGGGACGGCGCGGGACTCGGGCGCGAAAGCTCCGCCGCCGGGGCGGGCAGAAGCGGTGTTGGGCGGCGGTTCGGTCCGGCGGGCTGCGGGGCCCCGGCCGGGCGCCTCCTGGGTCGCCGCTGGTCCTCCAGCCCAAGGGCTCGCTGTGCCTGGAGCCCGAGAGAAGCGGCGTCTCCTGAGCTGGTCGGGCGTTTCGCTTGTTCCCCTGCCCGCCCCCCCCCCTCGGCCGGTTGGGGAGAAGGCGGCCTTTTGGTCTGGGAGGGATTAACTGCTTGAAGGAAGCCCCTCGGTTGAAGGGCCGCCGGTTGCTGCGCCGCGGCTGCTCTTCCGGGGCGGTCAGTGTCTGGGGACCCAGCCGACGCCCCCGGGAGAGGAATCTTCCCCCCTTCTGGGCTCTGCGGGTGCTGCTGGAAGAGCTCCGGGCCCCTGCCCCCCCCCTTCCCTTTGCCGGTGGAGGATAGTCCCAGTACTGAGCTGGTTTTGTGCTCTCAGACCCTCGTCCTGCCATCACGAAGTCTGCTTTACTGGGTAGTGTGATGGATGCTCCCAGCCATTGTGACTGTCAGGAAACTGGACTTAGTGAGATGTATGGAAACAGTTGTTCCGTTTTAGCAGAAGGGCCTGGCTCTGGCAGTTGCTTTGGCCCCACAGTTCACTTGCCCCTCCGTCGGGACCTGGGCCCCTCAGCCAGATGCTCACAGACCCAGCAGAGCGGAGCCCTTGACAGGGTTGGTGTTAAGTTGCGAGCTGCACCCAGAGATCTGCCTGCCAGAGGCTCTGCCGCAAGATTCGACTCCAGCTCCTCATCCTGCTCTCGTGCTGGCCTCAGGGACACCTGATCTGTGCTGGCAGGGCAGGAACTGCAAGCAGAACTCTGGAGGGCAGCAGTGCAAGGTTGGCCCGGCATCGCTGGATGGCTTTGATCGTCTAAGGGCAAAGAGAAGCCGGCTCTGCAGAGGCTTTGACCCTTTCTGGGGTTCCACCCTCAGTGGGCGCAGGCGGTTCCCAACCTCTTCCTTTCCAAACATTTCCCATCTGGGAGTAAACCGCATCTGCAAAATGGGAATTTCCCAATTGCTTGCAGAGAGAGAGAAAGAAAGAGGGAGGATACCGGAGGTCATTCTGAGGGAAAAGACGAAACACACAACTTTTTCCTGACTTGGGGCTCGGATTTTATTGGGTGTGCTGGCTTTAAAGTAGGCTGCGCGTTGCCACTTAAAAACAAATAGGCGCATTTCCTAGAATTTCCATTATCTTGATTATGTGAGGAACTGGATTTTAATCAGAACACGTGACTATAAAATCCCTGCAGCTGTTTGGCATTTAGTTGAAATAACTCTAAAATAACTGAAAGAAAGACTGCTGATCCCAAAGAATCAGGAGGACTCCAGTAGTCCCTTTTCCAACCGATGTCTTTTAATGCAGTTGGGAAAAATCTTACCCCACGCCTCCTGATTCTTCTGCTGCCAGAGACTGGCTCTCCTGTAGTTCTCCAGCAGAGACAGCTCTGATGATCCAGGCAGCATTTCAATTAAATGCTGCTGCCTCCCCTGTTAAGCCCCCATTCCTCGTAGTGGGTAGAGCCCCCACTTGGAGCAGGTCCCGAGTGGGGAAGGGCTCCACTTAGCCAGCCTGCTCCGAGGGGAAAGGGATGCGACGACACCCTTCCTTCGACTCTGCCCGAGAGACCACGTTTCTCTAGTCAGGCTGGGCCTTGAGCGGGAGGAATGAGTGAACAGACCGAGTGGGAGACTCTTGAGGGGGGGGAGTCACACAGAGATCGCCAGGAGGCCATGGCCTCCACATACCCACGAACCTGCTGGGTCCTTCTCCAGCTGCTGCCCTCCTTCACCTCTGCCTAGTCCCAAAAAAGAGCTTGGGCCCCTGACGTTGACTACAAAGGACTAGAAAAGCCGAATTCCAAAATTTTAGGCAAGCCAGAGAAAAAAAAGCCGAATTCCAAAATTTTAGGCAAGCCGGAGAGCTGCTTCTGCCTCCCTGAGGCTGGCAGGTGGAGCAGTTTTTCAGCCACTGAGAACGGAGCCAGATGTCACAACTCAAGGTCAACTTATTGGTTACAGCAATTTAGAGCCCACCTTTAACCCCTCTTCCCAAACAGCTCATAGTCATGCCGACAGTTATGATAAAAGCACAAAGTACAAATACTGACATACTTTATTTTAAAAGGAAAAGATATTCACATATATGGGTTTTAACTTTAAATAGTGGCCTGCAAAGGATTCAGTCAAAGAGTCACCTTTGGAGAGATGGGCGGCATGTAAGTTTAATAAATAAATTCAGCTATGGATATAAACAGCAAGAGGCAGCCTTCGGTAGAAAAAGCATGCAGGAAAACATAAAGCTCCAACAGACCCTGACTGGTGCTGAGATCCTGGGTCTGTACAAAAGGACCCAATTTACTGGACAGTTTCAGAAAACATAAAATACTACAGACAATAAAGTGAACTTACCTCCTCCTCCCCCCCAATTAAATTAAAAGTGGTTGTATGCAATAGTCTCACCAAAGGTTCTGTGTTTTTCCTTTCAAAGGTGGCAACCTCTCTGATTTCCCACGGTCTCTGTTCATTCTCAGAGCTCTGAGGCTGCTGGGCAAAGCCCCCCTTTCTCTTTTCAGCCCCCTTGGTCTGTCCTGTTAAAAAGACAAAGTGTTTTTCTGCAGGGGGGGCAGGGGGTCCTCAGACGGAACATGACTCAATTCTACAACTGGGAGGGGTGGAAGGGATTGAAATTCAGCTCTGTCTGGTGCTCAGTATATTTCATTTATTTAAGAGATATGGCTACAAATATTATATAAAATAGTTCTGGATGTCCATCAACAAGCAGACAAAATTACATTAAGCAGTGGGGTGCCACAAGGCTCCGTCTTAGGCCCAGGACTCTTCAATATCTTCATCAGTGACTTAGATGAGGGAATAGAAGGGAACTCATCAGATTTGCAGATGACAGTAAACTGGCAGGAAGAGCCCACACCCCAGAAGACAAGCTCAGCATCCAAAAAGACCTCAACAAACTCGAACAATGGGCCCTAACCAACAAAATTAATTTTACATGGGAGAAAAACAAGGTTTTACATTTAGGCAGGAAAAATCAAAGGTACAAGTATAGATTAGGTGAGACCTGGCTTAAAAACAGTAACTGTGAGAGTCCTTGAATATGAGCCAGCCATGTGCAGCAACAGCCAAAGAAGCTAATACAATCCTGGGTTTTATAAACAGAGATCACATGAAGTATTAGTACCGCTTTATAAAACCCTGGTAAGACCACACCTGGAATATGCAACCAATTTTGGTCATCATACCTCAAAAAAGTTGTTGAGACTTGGAAAAAGTTCAGAGAAGAGCAACTAGGAGACTAAAACATAAGAAGAACTGTAGGACTTGGGTTTGGCTAGTCTAAATAAAAGACGAAATAGGGGTGACATGATAGCAGTGTTCCAGTGTTTGAGGGGCTGCCACAAAGAAGCTGCTGCTTTGAGCTGGTCTTGGTGAGAGGACCCAGAAACTTCCTTTTTGTCACTTAATGCAAAGAGCTTCAGAGAAGAGCCATCCAGGAACCTCTGCAACAGTAGGGGGGGGAGCAGGCACAGCTGAAGTCCTTCCCCATTAAATAGAAGGGAAGGGAAGGGAAGGGAAGGGGAAGAGAAGAGAAGAGAAGGGAAGAGAAGAGAAGAGAAGAGAAGAGAAGAGAAGAGAAGAGAAGAGAAGAGAAGAGAAGAGAAGAGAAGCTGGAAGGGACCTTGAAGGTCTTCTAGTCCAACCCCCAGGGGCCCAAGGTAGGAGATCTTATTCCATCTCAGTCAAGTGGTTGTCCAGTCTTTTCTTGCAAAGCTTCCGCAGTCCTCCAGCGAGTGGACATGTCTAAGTGGAGGACCGGCAGCCATTGGTTGATGCTGCTCTTTGGATTCTGACACAAGAGGAGAGGGCTTTGTGATCTAAATGGCCCCATTCAATTCCTGCATACTGTAATTTATTTGCAGACGAAATACCAGGTCTTTAGGTCTAGGCGTCCTAGCAATGAGACTGAATCCCAGCCAGCTGCATGAGGGGCCTCCAGACACGGCAGCTCCCTCCGTCCCTCACCCCCATGGCTTTTGTCTGGGCTCAGCCAGGGCGGATGAGGCGAGTCGTCTGCCTGCCTGCCTGCTTCGTCTCTGCTTTGAAGGGAGCAGCCATTATTATGCTGCTGGTGATCCTCTCACTCCTTCTGCTCAGCCTCCAAGGAACAGCGAAATGTTTGTCAGCAGGAGAAGCCCTGCACCTACTGACACAGGCAGGAAGGCTGTCCTGGCTCCCTGACCCCTCGCCCGATACATTTAATAGGTTTTAAATCTCAAATTTGAAATTGGAATGTAGTGCAAAAGATGCTGCTTCTGTGATCCACTTTTCCAGAAAAACCCCTGGGCCCCATTGCCCTCCTGGGCATGCTATGAAAATGGGGGCAGCAAGAGTCCAGGCCGTTCATGGGGCACCCCCGTCCAGCCAAAAACGGGTCTAAGCTGGGGTCAG